GACAGCAAAATTGACAGCCAATTAAAAACAGACAACCACAAATCCTGGGAGGATATGGAGAGATTGAGACCCTCATACACTTCTGGTGGGACTGTGCATATGTACGACCACTGTGGACGATGCAATGGTGCTTCCTCAACTAGGAATGGAAATTCCATATGACCCAGCAGTATCAGCCCTAACAGTATTAAGATCCATAGCACAAACAGACACAGGCATAGTCACATTCATTCCATTGCTGTTCACAATAGCAAGAAGTTGGAAACAACATCATGTCCCTCAGTAGAAGAACGGATAAGGGAATTTTGGTAGACACACTGAAATAATGGGCCAGAGGAAACAGCATGAAGAAACACTTGATGATTGTACATTCTGCGGAGGAAAGTGAGTGAATCAGAAGAAGACGAACACTGAATGAGACCATGGTTATAATTCACTACATCATGAAAGGGGGAAAAGAAGATCCAGAGGAGTTCAGCAAACAGGTGAGGCTAAGCTATGGGGTGGTGTGACAAGTAGTTTAAACTGTGGAGCACACAATAGATGATCTGAAATGTAAACCACCATCAAATTCACAATAGTGAAACTGGTTCAAAAGGAAGAAGCGATGTTACTGAGAGAAGTACTCCAAGCTGCACTAAAGCAATAGCTAAATATTATTGGGAAGCTGGAGTGTATGGGGCTGAATGAGTACTCCAGACCGGAAGAAGGCTCGTTAACAACCGGCAGTATGGAGATGACACAATCTTCTTAAGGAAGACAACTTGAAGGGCTCAGTGAGGAAGATCAGATACTGAGGTTATCAGTAGGGACCAGTCATTCAGTACAATCTACAAATCAATTTTAAAATGTTTTTCACAAATGGGCCCATTGGGAATGTCATGATACAAGGAAAACAGATTAAATATGTAAGGAGTTCATATTGATTGGATGCACAATCAGTGTTCATGGTCCTGCTGCCCAAGAGCACTATTAAGTTCTAAAGAGAAGAGATGTCTCTGTGAAGACTAAGGGACACCCAAGTTCTCATATTTTCTATTGTTTCATGTGCATGTGGGAGCTTGACCATGAATAAGGAAGGCTGGGGAAGAATGGGAGCATTTGAATGACGGTGTTGGTGAAGGGTATTGAATGTACAATGGTGTCATAAAGTGAAATTAATTCATTATGGCCCTCCTGTTCATTGTTCTGTAACTCCCCTGAAGCAAAGTGGGTGAGATTAGCCAAACAAGGTGTAGAGGACTCTAACTCTGAGACTGGACAGTTTCCCATTCCCGTGGGTAGAAGAGACCCATCTCAAAAGCAGGGAGAGGGAGTCCCGTGACTGCTGAGAGAGAAGGGCCCACCGGTGGAGCACTGTTCAAGCCCTGATCAGAGTAGTTGAGTCAGCACAGAGTCGTGTGGCCACAGAGCAGAGGAGCAGCCCCAGAGAAACAATGAGGAGAAGCAGCTGAGCAGCAGGCCGACTCATGGCCCAGGGAGGCAGGGACCCAGAGACCACGTGGCTGAGAGCCTGAGGACCAGAGACACGGTTGGCTGCGGGCTGTCAAAAGGAGCTGCTGTGGACCAAAGACTGTATGCTTCGTGTGTTATAATGCCGATGTGTGGTAGTCTTTATTGTTTTCTTTCCTTCAAGCCTCACTGCCATCAAGTTGATTCCCGCTCGACAGGAGGAAAATCAAGGGAAATAGAGGAAAGACCTGGGAGGCAAAGGGCATTTATAGAGGTCTAGATAAAGACATGTACATATGCGAATATATTTATATGAGG